TCTTATTTTTTACTATATTATTTGAAATTTTTCGAACTTGTTATACCCCAATTTGTACATAAAACTCGAGGCAAGTCAGCTGAATCTGAGTGCCGATCATAAAACATTGGTTCTCTGTTTGAAACCCAAATGCCTGCACATTTGTAGTTTCCCATCGTGGATTTCACAAATACACTGTGTTTTAATACCTGTTTCCATTGATGAATAGAGGAGATGAAACCGTCCTGTCATTTTCTCCTCATCAAAGGGATACGTTTCTACTGTCCCTCATTGAGAATGGACCATGAATTTTGCATGCTTTATTCATTTGCGTACTGGACATTATTTTGCAAGTTAACATGCCAACTTCATCATGATTATGGAAATCCACACTATAGTCATGAAGGGTCATCATATGCCAATTGGTGGTTGGTCAGTGCTGCAGAGAGAGTGGGCTCCATTTTTATTTTTTATTTATTATTTATTCAAAAAAAGAAAAATACAATGAGATCATTTACTTTTGGTGCAAGGTGGTCACAATTAATCTTGATCATTGAATGTGAAATTAGATGGCTGCATCTATTCCATTGACCAAACTCAAACTTCAAATTTTTTTTTATCAAACTTTATACACCCAAGCTATCAGATTTCAAATCGGATAATTGTATGTAATTGTGACCCTGTTGTGTCAAGGTAAATGGTCTCATTGTATACAATCCCATTGGGAACCATGTCACGTATTAGTCCCATTCTGTTAACATTTGACTATAGATTTAAGATCCCTCATGACCATGAATATTTTATGGGCATGATGATTTTTGCATTGATGCCTTTTAAATCTTTCTTGTCTATATTGCTTACTAGCATGCATGTTTTGATGAATGTAGAAATGGGATTAGAGAGATGAAGTTTGTAGTTGTGGTGGGTATCTTTGTGGCTTCCTTGACTGGGTGAGCTTATATTCCCCTTTTCTTTAATGGCTTTCTCTTTCTCAACTCTTAGTCCTCATTTTCACCATACGATATGAGATAGTATCATATTTTTGTGTTTTCAAAGCAAAGGTCTGTTTGGCTTTGAGTATTTTTTTTTTTGGTTAGTAGTTCAATGAGGATGTGGTCACATATTCATGATAGAAATAAAATTCAAGAGATCATGTTGTGGTGATTTACCACCCTGACCACCTAATCTTGCGCCCATTTTTAACTTTCAGCTTTTTAGGCATGCTAAATTAGTGTTTAAACCTATGAGGGAGCTCAATCTGTGTAGTGGTAGTTCATGGACCGAAATGCTCTTCTTACTTTCATGTGGTGGAGTAGATGTTTGTTACACATCAAATCAATCCTTACCTCTAATGTCCACATTGGAGGATTATCAAATGGCCTTGTTCGTTTGTACATTTATATAACCTTTAAAACCCGACCAATAATATGTCATCACTGAAATTCTTGTTGGATTTTACCCTGTAAACAAAAGTTCCAAGCACCCAAAAAATGCAGAAATGCAAAAGGGTTCACGCATAAGAAATCAATTAAGCCTAGCTCTACATAATATGTATACAACAATTCATTCACGCACACAATATGGAAAATACTAACAAATACATATGTGCAAATTTTTATAGTATTTCGCTCATAGTTCAGCATCATCCAAAGTCCCTCACATGATCATATTATTTGAATTTTAACAATATTTCTACAAATCAGATTCATATGAAATTTGCACCTTATGTACATCTAACTCACACTTGAGAAACAAAATATTTCTCAACAAAAAAATAATAAAAAAATACCTCTGCAATATTTATAGGGGTAATTTGGTTATTTTTATTATTTAGATTTTTTTTTATATTTTATTTATCTGTGATTTACTAAAGCGTGTATACATAGATAAAATTTGAAGCTAATTTGATTAGTAAAAAAAGTATTAAAATTATATCCTGTGGTTTGTATAAGGCTGAGGCTCAAAACAATCAAAATAACGCACACCATGAAATAATGTAGAGAAATGTGGTTTCAATACTGGAAATCCTTGTGATAGAATTAAAATATATTTTATCTCTAATTATAAAATTTAAAGCTTAAAAAATAATGTAGATCGAGTAGATATGTGAAATCTTGAAAATCTGTGATATGAATGGTCCAAAATTGCATTACAAGATGCACTATTTCCAAAACTTGAAATCCATTTTTTTTCTCATGTCCATGTATCTTGAGGTCGAGATGATCAATTTGAGGATTTTTGGGTATAAAAAAAACATTTTCTAGTGAAAATTTTGATATGTGCCCTCATTTGATTATTTAGAGCCTCGCACTTATATAAACGTTTTCTTATATATACAAGGTTGTAACCTTATTTGTAGAAGTAAGATTGTAGTATTTTATACCATTTATTTTATTTGCATGATTTATATCAAACACTATCTTAAAAGATGTGTCACATTTGACATGTATTATAAAATGGGCATCTAACAACCTCTCAAAATACAAAGGCTAATCTTAAAACAAATTGTGTTGGGTATAATTATCAAAAAGTCAATATGTTTTGTTTCAAAATTTATTGTTTTATGGGTAATACTTTATCATTCAGTAATATATTTGAAATTTTGATGCAAGTACAATGGTAGTTTGAAAGTTAGTATCCTAGAACTTTAATAGTACAACACCCACATTTGTCTATTAGAAAAAATTTCAACTTTCTCGTTATAAAGATGATAAATTGCTCATTTTCTTTTAGTGAAAATTACACATAAATTTATTTAGGGAAAGGTTTCTATGTTTCCCCTACAGCATAGAAGATCTATGCTTCCTTTACCATCCGGCCATCCAATTTTGATCAAGAGAGCCACTCACTGTTTGATCTTAGATCCGACGTTTCAAAGTAATTTATTTTTAATTTTTTTTATACAAATTGTATGAATATAAATTTAGTACGTGCCATCTTATCAATGGGGTGCACCTATTAAAAATATTTTTTTGATAAATTATAATAACCAAAATACACCTTAAATTTTTAAGGAGTATTTTGGTCATTTTATTTTATTAGAAATATGTTTTTTTTATAGTTTTTGTTAGTGCGAGTTTAATAGAGGATTAGATGTTCAAAATTTGGTGTCAAAATAGTTTATAGAAAAAAAATTAAAATAATATAGTCTAGAGACGTGACATTGTGATTGGGGCAATCTTAGCCCTCCATTCAGAACGGATGGTTGGATAAGCGGAAGTATATAAGCTTTATGTTGTAGGGGAAGCGTAGAAAGCTTGCACATTTATTTAAGGGTGCAGTTTTTATAAAGCTTAGGCTCTATACGATCAAATTAGAGCCTACCTTTAAATAGTATCGAGAAATGTGGTTTCAAAACTAGAAATCTTTGTAATAGCCTTAAAATATCTTTTTATCTTTATTTATAAAGTTTAAAGCTTCAAAAATGGTGTAGATGGATAGATCTATCAAACTTTGAAAATCGACGGTCAAAAAATGCATTGCAAAATACATTATTTCCAAAACTTAAAATCAATTTTTTTCTCATGTCTATACATCTTGATGTCAAGATGATCAATTTGACGACTTTGGACCATCAAAACAATCTCGTCTAGCAAAAGTTTTGAGGTAGGCTCGAATGTGATTGTTTAGAGCCTCGGCTCTATATAAATTTTTCCCCTTATTTTAATAGCCAAGCTGCCATAAAAGATAAATTTTTATAAACAAAAGACATCTCGATCACCATCCATTCTTTTTAATTTGAATGGATATTCGGGATGAAAAATTTTCTTTAAAGAGTGTTTCCTACTACTTTATCTTCCAACTCAATCTCTCTATCTCTACTCTTCCTTTCTTCCTCCTCTCTCTTTCTTCCTCAGCCTCTCTCCATCCCTCTCTCTCTATGCACTTTCCCTCTTTCTTCCTCCTCTCTCTTAACCCCAAGTTGAAAATTTTTATCATATCAAATTGGAACCACGACAGACAAGTGCATCAGAAGATGTTTTCGCTTACACGCTTACAAACAGATGGGAGAGATTGTACAATATATAAGAGATAGGAAGGCGAGTGTGAGGGGGTATATTATAGTGAGAGACCGAGGGAGATGCCTAATATGCTTGGAGGGACAGATAAAAAGAGAGAGTACAGAGCGTGGAACACGCATATACACACGTGCACATACATACACACACAAAAAGAGAGAGAGAGCCCTAAATGAACGGTGGAGAGGGGATGAGTGTCAGAATAACCATTGATTGCATAGTATTTAGTATCTTTCTCAACTTACACTATTGAAGTAAGGTGCTCCTCAAAAATCCTCTAGAAGATCATCTTGACCTCAAAGTGTATGGATATGAAAAAAAGAAAAAAGAATTTCAAGTCTTAAAAATAATATCTTATGACAAAGTATATGGACTATCTATTTTCAATATTTTATGGTGTTTATAGATCTACTCGATCTGTACTATTTTTAGAATTTAAGATTTTCAAGCAATTGTAATGTTTTAGACACCGAAACTACATCTCCAAACAAAATTTAGAGGTGTGCCTACTTCTATTGTATAAGGAGTGCGCCTTACACAAACCTTTTGGTACCAGGAGGTCACTATCATTTCTGTCCTTCAAATTTCAAATCTGGTGATTGTAAGAGTGCTATTGACTAGACTTAAAGATAAAAAAAATATTCCGGAACTTCTTGATGCACCCCAATCATCCAATTTGGCATGTCATGGCTACGAGTAATCGTGACTTCCTTTTGACAAAGAAAAATGGTCTCATAACATAAAATCCCTATTATCAAACTCAATTGTGAAACCATTGTATTGCAATGATTTCCAATTTGTGAAAAACTTATATACATAAACTTTGTTAAAATTCCAAAGTTTGGTTGCATGTAATCTAATGCACTGTAGAATTTACATGTTCCATCTCTATCATACAACCACCGTTGGATGGTTGAATGATGGAATCTCTACCATCTGTTCTCCATAAAGAGCACGGTATACAATTGTTTGCTAAGTTGTTTTTATAATTATGGTTGCTAGGATCTCGATGGGTACGAGTCTCTTTTATTATGGCTTGCAATGCACGTCAGTAACTTTTGCAGCAAACGTCAACAATGTTATCCCGGTCGTTACTTTTATTTTTGCTGTAAGTATAAGGTAATACTCCCCATTTCATTATTATCTAATGGTGCATAGAGACAGGATGAGTTAGTTTAATTGCAATTGCAGAGGCCCTATTTTCCCTGGTATTGTCACTAAATATCAAAATTGCAGAGGCCCTATTTCCATCCAAGTTTATTGGTGCATATAGCAACAGTATAAGTTCATATAACAATCCCTTTCTAATTTTTATGTTTTCATTTTGCATCTTCATTTAGATACAGCTCCCCAATCAGTCCGATTTCGATAATGGATGGTTACAGAGAGTCAGACATCTCTGAGTTAGCACTGTCAAAACCTTTGCGAAGGAATAATGTTATCAGAGATCATACAGTTTGGGAAGTAGTTGAATCTATATGGGTACTCTGTAGTAGTGTATATTCATCAACAAGGTTTAAAAAACAAGACACTGTTTCCATTTTGCAGGGTAATAAATGAAAAGCAGTTTTTAACCAAAACAAGAAAACACAACGTTATTTTCCATACAAAAAACTCTCTCTCTCTCATTCTTGTTTTGCCTTACTTTTAGAAAGTGAGGGACAAGGGTGTTTGTCCTTCCCTCTTCTTCCACATTTGCTATAGTCATTAAGAAAACTCGCCTGAGTTCTACAGCACTTGGGTGAGTCCGTATCGTACTCCCACGTATTTACATTGTAACTTAAAAAGAGGGGAAATCTACTACCTTTTTTTTTTTAAATTCCTGAACATAGGAGCCCCAAATTTCCTTTTCCTGATCCATATTTTTAGAATATGCCAGAAAATTATTATGTTTACATATGGGAAACATTAGATTCGAGAAAAAACAATTAGATTTCTTGCATTTTGCTGATAGAAGAACTGTGGCTTATTTTGCTTCATATTGAAAAATTCCAATTTCTTTGAATCCAATGGTCCTTCTTGATGAAAGTCGAACTTTTGAGAAAAATTGCAATCAGTGTTTCAAGACTGAGCCAAATGACTTGGTCCATGTTGAGTTGATGCCCGAGTAAAACTTGGGCTAATTAACAAAGTAAAAGTCATAACGAGTACATAAAATAAAATTGTCTTGTTGAGTTGATGCCCGAGTAAAACTTGGGCTAATTAACAAAGTAAAAATCATAACGAGTATAAAAAATTGTGGAATCAATGTATACAAATTATATATGTAATTTGCATTTTTTACAGTGATTTGTGTGTTTTCATATAATATGACCTATTTTTAATTTTCTTCATTTTCTTCTTTTTCTATTATTTTTGAATGTCACCACCGAAAAATAATTTTTTTTAAATCCATGTTTTATATACTTGTTTGTTTATTTGGCTTTAGACTTTTTATGTTCTCTCTCTTTCTTTTCATTTTAATTTTGTATTTTTATTTTTAACAATTATTTTTTGTTTTTTATTTATTTTTTAGGTCTTTTTGGTCCTATGAACTATAGGTTCAGGTCAGGGTCGAGCTCAAGGCTCGAATCGCGTTTAAAAGCATTAATTTAAATTATTTATGTTTTTAGATTTTTCAAAGATTTTCCCATTTTGTTTATGTTTTTGGTGCCCTTCATAGGGTAGAACAAAACTATGTTAAGTCCCCTAGTAATTGAGCAAGAGAAAGGCCCAAGTCCAGAGCATGAGAGAAGTATTTTAACATTGCTTGTATTACAAACTGACATATGACCTTACAAAAAGGTGACACTTAGGTAGGCATAAGGTTACAATGTTCTATACTTTTTGTGACTCTTAGGTTGGCACAAGGTTATAATGTTCTATACTATCTATTTTAATTGGATAGTACGTCATCTAGCGTAAAAAAATGGCACATCTTTTAAAATAATATAAAATGTAGTCTGTTTGAATAAAGTAGACTGTGCAAATTACTACCTCTTTTTAAAATAATTGACATAACGACTGATATATATATATATATATATATATATCCCCCCATTTTTGGTCTTAAGTCGATTACGAACTTTTTCAGCAAAGAGATAAGGAAGACCAGAAATAAATTTTTCTTTCTAGTGAATGGAATTACTATCTTCATGAATAAGAAGGCGGGAAAAGAAAACATCTTTATACCATTTATGGTGAGAAAGAGTTGGACATTTAAGAGTAGAAAAGAGGTCTTCAGATCTTGCTTCCAGTAAGGCAGTACTGCCGACAAAGTGAAGGGTTATTGTATATATGAGAGTATTGACAGCGTCGCTTGCTGCTTGAACAATTTCTTGATTTAATTCATTTTTAATATATGATTGTTTGGTGGCAGCTAATATTTGTTGTTTTGATATATCATGAAGGTGGAAGTCCCACTATCCTCTGAGCCAACCAGTGAAACCATAGATAATAGCTTTTTGTACATCTTGATCATGGGCTCCAGAGACCTTGCATGCGGTAGCATACATGGTCATATGTTTTATGGTATCAAGGATTTGATGATCGGACATGCCGTCTATATTCCAATTAACAATAGTTTGTCCTGAATATGATACTGTATGGGATATAAGATCTTCGTCGAATTATATATCAACTGGGGTAGGTCTAGTATGGTACATTCTAGATTGAAACACTGGTCTCCATTTTTTACCATAGTCTATTCTATTAATATTATTTTCTTGAGATGATTGAGTAAAAGCATCTTTTATATTAGTAATAGTATTATGAATTTCTGGTATTTCATGTAGCATCATGGCTGCTGGTTCTGTTATATTTATTACTGATTCTTTAACTACTTTTAGCTTTCTCCTTTTCTTTAATATCTAGATTTGTTAAAAAATAACTCCAAGATAACTCCAAGATCTAAAATCGTCTGAAATTCTTAAATTCTAATTTTTATCTTAATATCATAGAGAACATGGTCCTATAGACTAATAATGATCTAAGAAGAGAAGTGTAATATAAAAAGATGAATAGAATAATAATGAATGAAACAACAGAGATATCTAATAATATCCAAGTGATATAATTATTACTTAATACTTTAACGCTAACTATTATTTTAAACTGCATAATATGAACAATCTTTATTGATACAGATTCAAATAAAGTACAGAGACAAACAGATACAAATTACAAACTGAATACAGACGGTGTACAACTTACAAGTTACAAAGGCATAAACTTGAAAAGTGTTGCCATTCGTCCGGACAGAACGATGGCAACTTATGTATATTACAGTCATACATTACAAAGTGAAAATAAAGCTTAATAGAAATATCTTACTTGAGAAAGGCTTGCCTGGCAAATTTGCAGAGATCGGGTAGATAGGGTAAAAAGTGCTGAAACTTTTCAGAATAGAGAGAGAGAGAGAGAGAGAGAACAGGCATAGCTTTTCAGAACAGAGATAGAGTAGGTGAAAATCCCCGATACCTCGACTGAATGAGAAGAGAGGGTTTTTATAGGCAAGAGTGAGTAAGCAAAGGTATCGAGCTGGCATTGTCTTGATTAGACACAAAGAGAGGAGAAGATGTAAAAAGAACAAATGAATCTTATCGGCTGTCAGTGTTAAGCTGGCAAGGTGAGCTGGCAAGGTAGTTGAGAAGAAAAGAATCTTTAAAGTCAGATATGACTTAAAGATAAAGGGTGAAAGAGACATGACACGACTAAAAGAAAAAGCAAAAGTAACTTTTGTACATGACATGACTAAAAACAAATTTAACTTTCATCGGCCATATTGTATGGAAAGCATTTTGATCTAATGGCTTTTTTCGTTTTTGCCGTACGACAGATGCCATCTGTCGACCTCTTTATTTCTTTTTGTCTTTTGTAGAGTCTTTTGGATAGCTGTACAGGTGACATCTTCTGGATGGATATCCAGCTGGCTTTTAATACAGTAGGAGGACGTGACAGGCTTCTGATAGCTGATATGTTGTACAGCTTGCTGGGCAGAACCGAGCTATTCGGGTCTTTGGCTGAAATCATCATCAGGCTCAGATGGAGAAGAGGTAGCTTCAAATGTTTCTTCCTGTATGATTTTTAATAGCTGATTTTCCAGTTCATCTTTGGTTGCTCTAGGGTTTTGTCTTCGCATTTGTCTTATATATTCGGCGAAAGTATTTGGGTCAAATTTAGGAGTATTCTGACAATCATGAGTAGCAGGAGGTATTCGTTTGAGTTTTATCATATTTGGGTCCATGCTAAAAACATCCCACCATCGAATTGATATTCTCTTTCCCAAACGGGGTATATATTCAAAATTATTATGAGTATTCTCATTTATCCCATATTCTCACTTTACTATCCAGGGTATCTAGTATATAGCCATAAAATAAAGATGATAGTCAATATCATCATCAACTCCATTGTATTCAGCAAATGCTGTTTGAGCACTTTTAAATGGATCGGGCAATATCTGAGTTCCTGATCCCCATATTAGAAACTAGTAACGGAACCAACTAGGGAATCTCTAAAAAACAGACATTTTAATCTGAACAAACCATGTATAATAATTATTTAGATTTTGATATGCAAACACTTTATGCCATGCATCTATATATTCAATATATCGATATGATTTATATCGAAATTTAGGGGCTTGAAGTTTTCGGCCCTGATTGGGCTACATCCCCAATCATCATATGATAATAATTTTCTTATCTGTAATTTCGAATATCCAATTATTTTTGTATTGGGATTGAAGAAATGAACTATTGAAATAGATCCTGCTTCTAAAAAGACAGCTTCGTACCATTCTCTGGTCTTGTTGCCATTTGAAGGATTGAGGTGGTTTTGTAAATATAGAGGGGCTAATTTATTTGGGTCTATATGTATATGCTTGCCATCACTAGTAACATCTATCAAGAAAGCAGTTTCTTCATATACTGATTTATTTGGGATATTGGATTTATTGATGCTAGATGAAGGAGTGAAAACTGGAGTGGATTTCGGTTGAGATGAATATTCTGGGTAATTGATTGATCTTGCTGGAGATAAAGGCGGATAGGAATTTATAGGAGAGTCAGATATAGTCGAGACAATTTCCATAGGCAATTTTCTTTTATTGCTATTATTGATATTCATTTTAAATAATTGTATTACGTAAGTATCCGGTTCTGGTTCAAGAGGCGGTAGATCCCTTCCCCCCTGTAAAAATTCACGTGTGAGAAAATCAGGAAGAGAATTGGAAGAACCATGCAGATGTTCAATTGTAAAATCGAAAGAAGATAAAATTGCTTGCCAACTGGCAAAAATCTGTTTAGAGACAAGATTTTGAACATCTTTTTGCATAATATCCTGTGCAGATTTACAATCAGTTCTAATAAGAAATGAAGTATTAAGAATATCACTCTAAAATTTATTCACACAATAGACAATGGCTAAAATTTCTTTTTCAATTGTTGAATAATTTTGTTGTGTTGAATTTTATGCCTTAGAAGTATATCGTACTAATTGTTTTTTATTATCTATTTTTTGTTTAAGGATTCCTCCCAAACTAAATTCGGAGGCATCACATTCAATATTTTTAAAAGCATTAGGGTCGGATAGGATTAAGCAAGGTAATTCAGTTGATTTACTTTTAAGAATTCGAATGGCATTTGTATGTTGATCCGTCCATTTAGGAGGCGTCTTTTTTAGGCGGTCATATAAAGGTTTAGCAATAATAGCAATTTCTTTAATGAAATAAAAAATATAGTTTAAGCATATTAGAAATCGTTGTAATTCGACTTTATTTAGGATAATATCAGGAAATTTAGTAGAGAATTCAATAGCTCTATCGATGGGAATGATTGTGCTTTGGAAGATATTATGGCCTAAAAATCTAATTTTAGCTTGACAGAGATTCATTTTCTTTGCAAAAACTACAAGTCCTGCATGTTTCACAGTATTGAGAAGTATATTTAGATGTTTAAAGTGTTGATGAATATCAATTGAAAAAATAAGAACATCATTGATGTAAACTATCATAGATGTCATATAAGGGTTAAAAATATCATTCATAATTTTCTGAAATTCAGATGGTGCATTTTTTAGGCCGAATGACATTACATTCCATTTATATTGGACAAATGGAACATTAAAGGCTGTTTTATAGCGATATTTTTCATTTATTTGTATTTGCCAGTAACCTGGTTTAAGATCAAACTTTGAAAAAATACAAGCCTTTACCAATCTATCTAATAAATCCTTTTTATTAGGGATAGGATATCTGATCCATTTGAGTACTTTATTCAGTGGCTTATAATTAATAACTAATTTTGGAACTCCTTGTTCCTTTTATTTTTCACAGAAAAGGCGGCACAACTCCATGGAGATGAGCTTGGCCTAATTAATCCTTTTTCTAAGAGAGAAATTATTTCTTAATGACAAATCTCTACCATTTTTGAATTCATATGAATTGGGCGAGCTTTTGTTGGAATTTTAGTTTCAAAAAATCCTTCTTCATATGGATGAGATACGATATGTTTTTTTCGATTCCAAAAAGCATTAGGTAAATCACTACATATTTCTTTTTCAAATTGTTGTCTTAGGTTTTCAATTTTTGATCTAGTTTTAGGAAGCAATAACTGTTCTTCAACTTCAACTGTTTTATATTTTATTTCAGTTTTAAGCTCATATAAATTTTTTTTCCTTATTTTGTGTATTTTGTTTTATATTATTTATTTCTTTTATTTTTGGTTTGTCAATAAACTCAAATTTTACTTTTATTCATTCAATCGTTGGTTCTAATCCAGTATGGTCTATAACAATAGGATATAACATACTGATAAAAGGAGTGCCTAGAATAACTGCTTGATTAAGTCCTTTTACCATAATAAATGGTAATTCTAGACATATACCATTATTGCATATAGCTGCATTTGATAGTTCATAGTTTATTTTCAGTTTACTTCCATCGGCTGTATTTAGAATTTGAGTAGTTTTATCAAAATATTTTGTAGGGACTAAACCCTCGTTTATACAATTCAAATCGGCACCTGAGTCTATCAACGCCATGGATTGGAAATGGTATTCATTTTGAACTATTATTTTGACTAAGTTATACCATTTTTATTTAAGATTTTATTTATTAAATTTAACTGAGGTTCTTGTTTATTTTATGAAGATTTAGGTTTAACTGATATTTTATTATTGGTGATTAGTTCATTAAATTCTATTTCTTCATCTTCGAAAGGATTATCAGTTAACTCATTTGTTAATTCTAATAACTTAATTCTATTTTTCAAATTATTAAGTTCAGATGTTACTTCATTAACTTCATGTTTTAATTCAGCAATAGTAAGTTCTCTATGAATGTTATTTTTTTTTTTTTGATTAATTCGTTTAAGAATTTCAGAGAAGCTATATTCTTCTGGTGGTTTTATTAATGGAGTTGGCTTATTCTTAGCTTTTTCTATTTGAATATATTGGCTGATTATTGTTCTTTTATCTTCAGTATTAGGTATTTGTCTATAATTTCTAGAATTAAATTGTCTTCTTTCGTAAGAGTATGATATGAACATTTGTTATCCTTTTCAGATAAAGAAGACGTCTCATTTAATAAATCTTCATCTTTTATTATTCCTATATCTGATTCTTCATAAAAACTTTCTGAATATGAGGAAGAGGTAGTACTAATATCATTATCACTATCATATAGTTGAATAATTTTATATAACTGATTTCTTATATTTTCATCTAATATTAATGGCTCTATCTTTTTCTTTATATTACAATTAGTTTTATAGTGTCCAAATTTTCCACATTTATAACATCGAGGTATTTTCCTTTTAGGCCTTTTATTTTTAGAACTTCCTTTATAAGGTTGTTCGTATTTTTTATATTTATTTTTCTTATATCATTTTTTATAGGATTTTTGTCTTTTTTCTATTTTTATTCTTTTATGGGGTTTATTTTGGAAAAGATTTAGACTATATCCGAATTGTTCGCAAAAGTCATCAAGTTCTTTGTGACCAGTCATCTTTTGCTTTTCAAGTTGTTTTTTGAGTTTTAGATCGGTACAAAGGGCTAACCCTTCGGTACATATTTCGGCCGATAATTCTCCTAGAGTATAGAGTTGATATGGTATGATCCCCTATTTTTGGTCTTAAGTCGATTACGGACTTTTTCAGCAAAGAGACAGGGAAGACCAAAAATAAATTTTTCTTTCCAGTGATCGGAATTATTATCTTTACGAATAAGAAGGCGGGAAAAGAAAACATCTTTATACCATTTATAGTGAGAAAGAGTTGGACATTTAAGATTAGAAATGAGGTCTTCAGATCTTGCTTCTAGTAAGGCAGTACTGCCTATAAAATGAAGG